AAGCTTCAAAATAATGATCTGAATAAACCCTAATAATCTGGTTTATTATGAAATTACAAAAATTCTGCTCAGTACAAAATTTTATTGCTTATTATTGAAGTATTCTGTGAAATTCTACAATTTGTTTAATTTTATTCTTTTTCTGAAATGCAATGATATATTAAGGTGATAAATGCACAGGGAATCATATGGCCGAAATTTTTTAATATATGATATGTGCGGAGCATTGTGAGTCATAAGGGTCTGTTTTATAATATGCTACAAAGATTCACAAGGGTCTGTTTCTGATAGAAGGTATATATGTATGAAAGAAATCTTTTATTATTTTTATTCTGATATATGAAGTTCTTGTTTTTTAACTTTCAGTGCACAGACTGTTTTACTTCTGTTACAGCTTACTCTATTGAGTTGTGTTTTGCTCACACTTGTTCCTTCTATTTAAGGTTAGGGGAAAGGAAAAGAGCATGCTGAGTAGTTGAGTAGTTGAGTTCAAGATCTAATTTATCTGAGTCTATATAAGTTTTTTTTTTTTTTTAATTATTTTGTACAATCATGACTATTTATTGTAATTCTCAGTTTTGATCAGCCTACGTAATCATGTACTGTAGAAAAAATACTGTATACATATTTTAATGAAAGGAAAAAAAATTGTGGATGAGTTTTACTTTATGCAATTTACTAAAGTTAATTAGAGGCTATGTGGTATGTGAGTAGATTACTAAAAAATATCCGAGTAGCCCCAAAAATTACGATTTTGGACTAGCCTATCCCAATTTAACACGATATAATTCGTCTATTTAGTGGGTAATATCGGGTTGGACTGTGACAATACCTTAATCATTAAAGGTTAGAAAATAAGATACAAAGGCCAGCTCAATTGGTTCAACCATGAACTAGTTTGTTGACTGATTTGATGTACTATTAAATCATTTTATCTAAAGCTAGATAGGATTGAGATATTGAGATAAACAGACAGTCGAAACGTCAAATTGATGAACTGGTTGAAGTTTAGTTAAATTATCAGTTTCACTTTAGTATTAAATTATCATCATTCATTTTTTTACTCTGATAGTTAAAAATAATATTGATATAAAATTTAAAACTTAAATTTATTATGTAAAATTTTAGAAATCCTATTCTCATAAATTCCAAATCTTTTAGGTTTTCAGTGATTTGTCACTTAAAGGATTATATAAATTTGTATTATGAAGAAAAAGTAAAGATTTGTTACTAAAATATTGAAGATGTTTGAGTTTTTTAATATTAGTGTGCATTGATGTTGTTAGCAACGGTTGGAGGTGCGCAATTTGCAATACTATAATGTGGCCATAATGATCAAAGGACCATTTCTTATAATAATGGTTGGAGGACCATAGTCGAGGGATAATTGTTAGAGGACCAAAGTTAAGCGAAGTTGATGTAAGGATCGTAGTGGGTGATGGTGATCAGAAGACCATAATCAGATGACGGTGATTAGAGGATTGTAGTCATGCGATGACGATCAAGCGACCGCATTATAGTGACAATGGTCGAAGGATTGTAGTCGATCAATGATGGTTTAAAGATCATAATCAATTGATAATGGTTGGATCGAATCAAAGCCGAACAACAATTGTTGAAGGACTATAGTCATGTAAAGTGGTCAAAATATCGTGTTCGAGTAACGATGGTTATATAAAAATATTCGAGTAATAAAGATTGGAAGATTGTAGTCAGATAATTATGGTTAAAAAATCATAATCAAGCGAATGCTGTCTATGAACTGTACTAGGGTGAAGTTTGTTGAAACCGATGTATGGATGGTCCTGAAATAAATTATAGAAGTTTCTAAGTCATATGCATCTAGATTAGTGCTCGATCATGCTAATCTATTGGTTGGGAGCTTTGGCTATTACAAGACAACAACCCTTATTTATAGAATATGTAGGCTACTTAAAAGGCAATAGGCCTAAAGAAAATATAAAAGCCAAACCATCTAATTATGTAGCTAATACATGGACTGAAGTTTATGACAAAAGAACCTAACAATAGCTCCGTCGTCATTCTATTGGGGTAGGAGAAACTTCATACTTGTAGTGAGATGACAAGTTGGCAAAAATAAGGAGACGGATTTGGTTGGTTGAATAGGGTTGGATAGGTCCACTCGGTGTCAAATCCTATACATCTCCTCATTACAAGACAATAACCTTTTTTTTTTTTTTTGAGAAATTTTATTCAAACCAAAACAAGGGTTACAAGAAGCAAAGAAGCAAAATGACAGAAAAAAACAAAGAGAATACAAGATTCAAATATGGGCTCAGTAACTGGTCGAGGCTCCCAGCACCCCCGAAGCTATGCTCAGACCATCCAATTTGGTGTAGAGAAGAGCGAAGCAACCAACCGAAATGACCAGCCAACCAATCAAGCAAAAGGACCCCCACCAAAGGTTGCCACGAGCCAACAACAGAGGAACGAGCCCCAGCCACATCATTGCCCGGCAAAACCCACGATCAACAGAAAAACCAAATTGGAGCTCCCCTGATTCAGCAAAAAGAATTAACCAGCAAGAACCAAAACAATAAAATCCACCAAAAATGCCAACCCAAGGTCCAACATCAGAGACGCTTACCTCCCCCATCTGCCCCTCCCACGTGGCCTCCCAAGAGAGGCGACGGAAACCATCGAACGGTCACGAAGCAAGGTACGATCCTTGCAAGAAACATCATCCCCCAGAGACTCCGACGAGGATACGGAGTCGGAATCGGAATAATGATCAGATGAACCGTGTAGCCAATCAAGTTGCACCCTTGCATCCACCCCAGAGTTATTGCCAACATGATACACCAAAGCCTGAGGTTCAATAAGATTTACTGGCACCTCAACAAGAGAATTAGGAACTAAAAGGTTGAGGGATGAGGGAGAAACAGCCAACCCCTCACACACCCCACCCAAAGGAGTAACAGATCCCTCTCCCAAAATTGCAGGGACAGGAATAGATTCATCCAAGCAAACCACATCCACGACATCAGAAGGGGGAGGAGAAGGCACACAATTATTCATGACAGAACTACCCTCCGAATGCACAGTTGGTAACAAATTAATATCACATCTCACAGTACCTGGTTCACTCAGAGCCACACGAGGGAAATGAGGAGTAGAAGCCTCACTCACCACACCCACAATAGAGTCCAAACGGGCACCATCATCCAAACAAACCCCAACGGGGACAACCAAATCAGCAGATTCACATGGAGGTAAATCCAAAGTAGGGGCAACACAAAGCTGAACAGGTTCTGGGGATAAAGCCACCTTAGAAAGCACTGGCAAAACCTTAGTATCCGCCCCCTCCAAATCCGCCACAGTAGTGGGTAAATCCCCATTAACAGTCGGATTAATCAAAGCAACAGAAACAAGATCAGGATGAAGAATCTTACAACCGGCCATAGAATGACCCAGGGCAAGACAATGCTTACAATAATCAGGAAAATCTTCAAAAACAATAGATTGAACATAACCAGAGCAATCCGAACCTAACCAAATTTTGTCCGGATGATGCTTGGACACATCCAGTTCAACTAAAACACGAGCAACAGACGATCGAGAGCCAAAGGATGTCGCATTGTCCGTTTTGAGCGGTTTACCAAAAATCAAACCAAGTCCATGAAGGATACGCGGGGCAAAGAGGTGAGGGCGGAGGTTAGGGAAAGATATCCAAATGAGAATGACAGGGGATTCAACCTCCACATCCAAAGTAGGTGTCCATTTAATCAATTTCATATAGGAATTACCCACAAAATAAGATCTATGAGCAAAAACCCTACAATAGTACAAGTCATTTAACAGCTTAATCAAAACATTCCTCTGGTTCAACACAGTGACCGATACCTCCCCAATCAGCTTAAGCTTAAAAAAGAAACTCCTAATTGCATCCAAGGATGGCCTACGGCCCGGAAATTTTCCGACAAGTGCAAATTCGAACGGAGCAGCCAGCGAAGCAATTTCCGCATCGAAAATCCACAACGTCGGTAAACCCCTGTGAGAGAAAACCTTAAGATCGAGAAAGACAGTAGATGACGAAGAAGAAACAGAACCAGAAAGCGCCTCTTTAAACGAAAGAGAAGAAGTCCCATTCAAAAATTCGGGATCACGAAAACGCCGTTGCGCCATCAAACCAAAGACGCGAAAGAAAAACTAAAGACGTGAAAGAAAAGACTTCCCTGAGCCACACGAAGACAGAACGCCAGCATGGAAATGCCAGAGAGAAAGGCGGCTAGGGCGAAGCCCTAGCACACCCCAACGAACGAGCCACACGAAGCATCGGGGGAACCTCTAACAACAAGACAACAGCCCTTATTTATAGAATATGTAGGCTACTTAAAAGTGAATTGGCCTAAAGAAAATATAAAAGTCAAACTATCTAATTATGTGGCAAATGTATGGATAGAGGTTTATGACAAAAGAACATAACAACATCTCTTGCGTCATGGATGAGCGGATCGAATTGTCAAATATAAAAAAAAAAAATCGGGAATAAAAATTTTTTTTTTCTTTGTTTTCATACATTAATGATGTGTTTTTTATTTGGACTATTTATATTTTTTTGAATTAAAAAAAATATAAACAAAATGATTGATAGAAATGAGATCATATACAATGAATATCTGTCTAAAAGTGTGTGAAACTTTGCAGTCTGCCAATAGGTGGAAAGGGCCAAAAGCTAATCATTGAAGTTTCCGCATGATTTAGATATGCAGAAAACTATTCATAAATAACTCAACCATTGTGCTTAGTTAATACACAAATGCAGAAAAATCCGAAGGGATCTCTCTTAATGCTTACAAGACACTCACTGTATGTCCCATTCGATGATCTAATAGGAATTTTGTCGCATTTCATAAATGCGCATTGCGCATTCAATGAAAAATCTGGAATCAATCAACCAACTCGCTCAATATAATGAGGCAGAGCTCACTGTATTTTTATCGTAGAAAAGATCATTACAGAGAGCAAGCTAGCCAGCCATGTCTACCAGTACTTTCTTCTCTATTGTAGCAGTCGGATTTCTTCTTAGCTTCATCGCTGTAGAATCCGTTGGTGTCTGCTATGGTCGGCGAGGGAATAATCTCCCTCCGCCAAATGAAGTCGTCGACCTCTACAAATCCAACAGGATAGGAGGCATTCGACTCTACGATACCAACCACGATATCCTCCAAGCGCTTAGAGGCTCTAACATTCCGGTCATCCTCGACGTCGTTGATTCTGATCTCTCAGCGATTGCAGCTAATCCCTCCGCCGCCACCGGATGGGTTCAAAATAATATTCAAGCTTTTGCCCAAGACGTGAACTTTCGTTACATAGCTGTCGGCAACGAGCGTATCCCCGGCGCTCATCCGGAGATCGTACTCCCTGCAATGAAGAATATACAAAACGCCTTGCAGGCTGCCGAACTGCAAGGCAGGATAAAGGTCTCAACTTCGGTATCCACCGGCGTCTTCGGCGCGTCCTACCCTCCCTCCGCCGGCGCCTTCTCCTCCAACGTCCACGACACTCTGCAACCCATCGTCTCCTTCCTCGCCAGCAACGGTGCCCCCCTCCTCGCTAATGTTTATCCTTACTTCAGTTACCTCGGAAACCCCAACATCAACCTCAACTACGCACTCTTCACTTCGCCGGGGACGGTGGTCACCGACGGGCCGTTGCAGTATCAGAATCTGTTTGATGCGATGGTGGACGCATTTTTCTCGGCGCTGGAGAAGATGGGCGGTGGCAATGTCAAACTGGTGGTGTCGGAGACCGGCTGGCCGTCGGATGGTGGCGGTGTGGCCACACAACAGAACGCGCAGACTTATCTCTCAAATCTGATAAACCATGTGAATCAAGGGACGCCCAAGAAGCCGGGAGTTAACATTGAGACCTACATATTCGCCATTTTTGATGAGAACATGAAGCAGCCAGGGGGAACAGAGAACCATTATGGGCTGTTTAACGCCAACAAGAGCCCAAAATATTCTCTCCACTTCTGATTACGCAGAATCAGAAGGGTGGTGCGGCCATTTGCCTGCCTGAATAAATTAGCTGTCAAGAAGAAAAGCTTGTTGTATCTTGTATGGGAGAAAAATTATTAAAGGAAAAAAAAAAGGTTTAATTATTTTCTAAATAATATTAATTAATGTTTATTTTTCAAAAAAAGTATATTAACAATATGTTAATTAATGCCAAGAAGAGAGAACCTCACTGCCTAAATACTGAAGCAAAATAGAATATTCAATTCTTCAAATATATTAACAAATAATATAGGCAGGATGACTTCCATTATATTATATAATAATAGGTCGATAGCTGTGTATAGGGGTGTCACTTTGGGTCAACAACTTTCATTAATTCTTTTTTTGAATAACATAAGTTTCAAAATCTAAAAGTAGGGATGAACAATGTCTCTAAAAATTTTACTTGACCAACATAAAGTTTGATGCATTATTTTATATGCCCCAAATAAAACATCTTGATAAGACAAATTCAATGAAACAAAAGATAATTCAATATTGAGTCCAAATGAATATAAATTAAACACTTGAAAGATTTCATGATATTAATTAAAAGAGCAATTGATTTCTAAGACTTCGTTTACAGTGTGATGTATGTTGGTCCATAGCTGTGTAGTTCAGACATTTGCAGGCATATTGGTCAACATTAGAGGAGGGAGAAGAGGGATTATTTTTGAAATATTTGAGTCGATTAAGTTAAAGTCATACACATGTCACATATATAAGATATGAACTCATGATCTCTTGATTTGTAGCCAATTATAATGAGGAGACTAATAAGATTTGAGTTTAGTTTGGCGTTTATTTATGTATACTGAAGAGTATTCAAGTGGTGATTTCTTTCCAAGGAGTTCTTGGAGTTGTGCTTGGCTCCGGTCACCGGATCGTGGACGAGGAGTTGTCAAACCCCCTTCTTGTCTAGTGTCAATACATGAATGACTCATAATTTGGGCCTCAAAATATAAACTAGATTAAAGAAAAATTTAGAGAACGATCAATGGTCATGAACTAATTTAATTTAGTTAGTTTCATATATTTTTGGCCAATGATGATCATTTCATCCTTCATGCTAATCACATTGTTGTGAAAATACAAGGAATAGAAAATCAGAATCAAAGCACAATCAGTACAAAGAACACAATGATTTTCACGATTCAATAAAGGTGTCTACATCCAGGGGAAGGGGATAATGATTTCACTATATTTGAGAATAATATGATTACAATTTGGCTCTCTCTCTCTTCATCCCTACAATAACCCTTACACCATTACTTATAGATTTGAAACAAAGCTACAAATAAAAAAAAATAAAAAAAATAAAATAAAAAAACTCTAACTAATGTTATAATATGAAAAAATTTTATCATGTCAATTAGATCTCTCAATCATGCTAATTAAATCTCTCAATTTACGCAATAATCAGATCCCCTAATTAATGCATCATTTAAATCTTTTATTTAATGTAATAATCAAACTCCTAATTGAATCACTAATTAGTCACTAAATTATTTCGAAATCAATTCTCTACACATTTAAAAAGATTCTCAAATCAACAATCTCAACCTCATCTTCCACTTAAAAAAATGAAAGATGACAAATCATACTCCAATATCAAAATGGCTGCACCAGATAATTACCTACATACCCCCTCTCAAGGGATTAAGCTGGCCAAGCATAATTCTTTAAAACAAGTAGACAATCAATTATGAGCTAGAATGTTCATCAAACTTCTATAGTAGATGAACTTCTAAACTGGTAGTACCTCTGTGAGCATGTCTGTTGAATTCACCTCGGTATATCTTCTTCAACTAGACATAGCCTTCAACAATCAAGTCTCGAACAAAATGGTTTGTTACATCAATGTGCTTGGTACGAGCATGATGAATTGGATTTGTAGCAAAAAAATTTGTAATGTAGCTGTCACAAAATATCGTCAGAGACTTGATTAACTTCTCAATCATCTAGTAGGTCTTGCATCCATATACTTACTTCATCACATCTATGACTGTCATGAACTTAGCCTCTGTAATAGGCAAAGCAACAATAAACAAAAGAACAGATCTATAACTGACTAGACCTCCTATTAATATAAATAATAACTAGTCGTACACCTAGGCCTATCAATATCATCGACGTAATCTAAGTTAGTGTAGCCTACATTCAAATCAGCAGTAGATCGATGTCTACCTATCAAACCCTAAGCATATATGAATTGTACCCCTCAATTCCTTAGGATAAGCTTATCAATGACTCCTTCCTGGATCATGTATGAACTTGCTCATAATGCCAATTACTTATGCAACGACTTGATTGAGTTGCTCCAAAATCAAACCATAGTATGCTACAAGTGCAAAGTGAATATAGGTCAAGGGATGCTTAACCACTAGGGAGAAAAACTCATTATAATTAATCCCTTCCCGCTGCATAGAGCCTTTTTCCACCAACTTAGTCTTATACCGCACATCAACTCCATGAGATCACTTCTTCTTAACACCCATTTGCACCCAATAACATTCCTTACTATAGGAAGTTTCACCAATCTCCAAGTAACATTCTTCTGAAGAAACTCAATCTCTTCATCTATAACCCTCTTTCAAAGATCATCATCAAGACTATTCAATGCCTCCTTGCAGTGACTAGAAATTTTAGCCTCTGTGACTAACAGTGTAAATGTAATGTAGTCCCTCACGCAAGCTGATTTTATGACATTCTGGTGCCTTGACCTAGTTTTAAAACATCCTATCTGTCACCCCATTCTACTGTAATATCTCTCTAACATTGAAGTGGTACTCTACCAATGCTTTATGATGTATCTTTAGAACTCTAAAGCCCTAACATACAATAAATTATTTTTAATATTTTGGAATGTGTCTTATATCAATAAGCTCTCTCATAGTATCATCATGTATTATTATGAATATACTCCCTATGCCAACAGTACAATAAGCTTGATCATTTTACATGGTCATTACACCACTATCAAGCTCCTTGTAGGTATAAACCCATTATTTAATGGGTAAATATGATCGGTAGCACCAATATCAAAAATTCAAGATAAAACATTTATATACAAACATTAAGAAACTCCAGATAGTGATACATCAAAATCTTTATCACACGTACTCTTCCTTATTAAGGTTTGTCTTTGCCCCCGTAGAAACTCCCTTTCCATTCTCTTTCAGTTTCATATAATCATTCTTTTAATAACTAGTCTCTAAATAGAAAGTTTACTAATTATTTTCAAAACTGCACCCATGAAACTTAATCTTCTTATTGCTTCCGCCCTTTTTATTCTTCTTCTCAGATCTTCCTCATTGGAGTGTGAGAACCTCAGTTGAATCCATCTTTGCTGGTTCCTTATCCCGACGATGGAACTTATGATTTAGTAATGCAGTAGTCTTCTCACCATAGTTCAAGACCTTCTTCTCATGAATGAGTGTCATTATGTAGTTTTCATACTCATCCAAGAGTGAACTTGACAAAAGGAGCACCTTCTATTCATCTCCAACATCCTCATTCAGATTCAAAAGATCTATCAATAACTTGGTGAATTCATTCAAATGTTCATTAATTGTAACTCCATGTCTTATCTGAAACCTATAAAGCTGGTGTTTCATAAGGAAACGATTCTCCACGCTCTTCATCTGGTATTTATTCTATAAAATCTTCCACTTGTTTATAGTAGAAATCTTTATCATCACCTTATACTTTATCTTCTGAGATATGTAGTTTTTGATCAAGCCACAAACACTCTAGTTCATCTTTAGTTAATCTCTCTAAAAAATCTCTTCGGATGTTCCTCATCATCTAGAACTTCCTCCAGATTTAATTAGAGAGCTCAACATATTCTTTTTTTAAGCGAACCTTCATAAATATAAGAGAACCAGAAAACTTAATTTACATCCACGAAAAAACTTGATTCAAATTAAGTAGATTTGATTTAAGCTAAATCAAGTTAATTCAAGCCAACTAACTCAATCCACTAAGTCTTATACTCGCTAACCTACCAAAAAACTTGATAAACTGTAAGCTATGATCTAGCAGAAACTTCATTAGAGTCATGAGCTCAGGAAGAAGATCAAGCAAGCAAATGAACTCCCAACGGTAAACTTTACTGTAGCAATTCAAATAATTATATAGACATGTTTAAGATAAGATAAAGTAAGAAAAAGACTAGTTTTCCCTTTGATGGTTACATAAAGCTGGCTGTTGCCAGAGCCAGTTCGGCGGTATCAGCTGCAGATGCAGGGAGTCGTTCCTGCTTAGAATGAGTGGAGGCCGGTGTGTTGCATTCTTCCTTAACACCGACCCTCAAGCTAATGGGAGGAACGACCATGAGCTTGGTACGTATAATGAGATGTTTAGAGACATGAAGAGCCTTGGTGAAGAGATCCGCAGGCTGGTCTTCTGTCGCAATGTGATGAACGGGGATGTGTTTGGCTTGAATGTTGTTTCGCACAAAATGATGATCGATTTCTATATGTTTAGTGCGAGCATGGAAGATTGGGTTGGTGGCAATGGACATTGCATAAATATTATCACAGTAGAGAGGTGTAGGCTGCTGGGGGATTTTAAAATCAATGCATAAGCAGCGAATCCAGATAATATCTGCAGCGACTGCAGCAAGGGAATGGTCACTACAGGAAAAACAGTGAAAACCGGCGGTTTTTTCCGGCGGTTAGTGTAAAATTACCGGCGGTTTGACAAATTATCGGCGGTCTAACGGCGGTTCAGTGACCGCCGGTAAAAACGTCCTGTAGTGGGTATTCGGCTTCCGTGGAAGAGCCGGCGACAGTGTTTTGTTTCTTCACTGTCCAAGAGACGAGTGCCTGGCCGAGAAAAATGCAGTAACCAGTAGTAGATTTGCGATCAATTACGTCACCTGCCCAGTCGGAGTCTGAGAAGGCGGTGAGGACAAGATCTATTTTTGGGAGAAGCAAACTGTAGTCTATAGTGCCTTGCATATAACGAAGGAGGAG